AGGCTAAGTAAGCCCTACTTGATGTCTCCAGCCCCAGGAGAAATGTAGTCTGGGATATAAGTTGTAGAGTACAAACTTTGCATTTGCATAACACTAGATTCCACTCTAAGCCCCATCTGGTTCCTAGAGCACCACCAGAAGCCCCCACAGTTAAAGGAGAGATTGATTCTCAGATAATGTATTATGTAAGTTCCTAATATTTCAAATACACTAAGGAAGCCTATGGTATATCACCTTATATTATTACTAATCACAAATGATAAACATACTTTCCTTGAGTTAGGTGGTTTGATGTTATTTTTATTTTTATATCCTTATCAGTCTATTGGGATTTTCTGCCACATCTGGATATGCTCTTGGGCTATTCCTGACTCTGCTCAGGAGTGATGTTGGCAGTACTTAGAAATGGGAGGGACCATACATGGTGTGTTGGGGACTCGAACCAGGGCCTGCCACTTTCGAGGCAAGCACCTTACCACCTCTACTGTTTCTAGTTCTTTATTGCTTTTTCTTTCAGAATGCTTTTCAAGAAACAGAACAATTCCTTGATTTTAGATTTTGTTCTAACCATGTTCACAATCCCAATATTATATATTTTGGTACAGGACAACTATGAATATAGTTAGAATATAGAAAAAATCAAGGAAATTAATATATAGCTATAAAGTTAACTGCTGGGCATTAAGAATACCAGATAATATAAAATGAAACCAAACTGGTATATTAGGGTGTTTTGGTTTTTCAGTGACTTCATTTAAATTTAGGATTCAGCTGTTGGGATTGTACAGTGGGTAGAGTCATTCAGGTGTGGCCAACCCAATTATGCTCCCTACCACCATATACAGTCCCCCCATGTACCAGCAGGAGTGATTACTGAGCTCAGAGTCAGAAGTAAGTCCTAAGCATCACCCAAATAACAACAGAAAACTCCATTGTAATATTCTTGTGTGTGTGATGGGGGCAGGGTGTGCTGGGAGCATAGCAGTTCTTAGGAGCTACTCCCTGTGGTGCTTGAGAGATAATATGGTCTCTGGGCTCCTACATGCAAAGCATTAATTCCAGCCTTTTGAATTATCTCTTTGACCTTTAGCTGCAATTCTCTTTTTTATTTTCCCATGTGGGGGGCCACACCCAGTGGTGCTGGTGGAAGCTTCTTCTGGTAGAACTTAATGGACCATGTAGTAGTAGTAATTAGGGATTAAATCAGGACTCCTGCATTCATAGCATGCTCTTCAGCCTCTTGAGTCATCTCCCTGGCTCCTCAAGTCTTCGCTCCCCTTCCCCTCCCTCCTCTCCCCTCCCATCCCTTCTTTCCCTTTCCATCCCTTCTCTTCTTCCTCTTCCTCTTCCCCTCCCTCATCCCTCCCCCCTCTTTTTCTCAGTTTTGGTTTGGGTTGGGTTGGGGTTTGGTTTTGGTTTTTGGGCCATACTCAGGCAGTGCTCACTAGGGCTTACTCCTAGTTCTGCACTCAGGGATCAGGAGTATCCCCTTGAATACTGCTAGATGTGGTCCCATTCTCATCGAAATAAAGCATTTATTTCTGTACTGTTTTGTCCTCAAAATTTAGAGATAGGATGAAAGAGTAATTGAATAAGTTATTCAGAAGAAGGGACTTAGAGAAATAACAATGCGCTGCAAATTTAGATGTATATGATTCATTCATTTCATTCATCATCCTGTTATTCGTCGATTGCCTCGAGCAGACCCCAGTAACATCTCTTTCATCCTAGCCCTGAGATTATATTCAAGGCTCTTTAGGAGAATGAGACCCATCATTGTTACTGGTATTTGGCATATTTGGTACGCCACGGGGAGTTTGCCAGACTCTGCCCTGTGGGCAGGCTACATTCGATAGCCTGCAAGTTTGTCCAAAGTAGGAATGAGATAATAAGATGTCATGAAAAGATGTCCTGATAAGATGTCGTGTGGCCGCAAATGCGGCCGCGCGGTTCCGGGAGCTGGATTTTATAGTCTCTGAGTCTTGGCTGCTGATGGGATTACATGGTGCCAGGGGGCCAGGTGGTGTGTGTGACCCCCGCCTACTGGAATTTGGAGGATCTGGGTGGAGGATGCTCAACTCCAATCCGAGTAGGCTTGGAGATCTCGGCCCCAGAACCCGCGTGGCTTTGTCCCTCTGCCAGTACCTTCATGTGTGCAAAGAGTGGTCTCGGCATGGTGGTGGCTGGTCCTGGAGGTCTTCCGCTGCCGGAGCCCTGGTCGGGGCAGGGAGGAAAGCTCAACCCGCTCCCCTCCAAGGGACCCCAGCGAGGAACAGCCAGGCGCAGGGGCAGGAGACTGCACTGGTCTAGTCCGGGAGCTGGATTTTATAGTCTCTGATATATGATATTTAGAATATTAAATTCATACATGTATAAGATTGCAAATAGTTTTATTGTACTTTTAAGATATTTTGCTGCTTTTACTGCTGTTTTTGTTTTGTGTTTTTGGCCACACCTGGTTTTTTATGATTGTCATTAGTGTTTGGGAAACTATGTGTTGTGGTGGGGAGCTAACCTGGTGGCCATTTGTAAGACAAACTCCTTACCCACTGTGCTCTCTCAGGTCCGTTACTCTGTGTGTGTATCCCCCCCACCCCCACACCTGGTAGTTTTTATTAAATGAAACTTGCTTAGATATGAGAGGAGGGGACTAAGCGATAGTAAAGCAGGTCGGGCACTTGCTTTGAATGCTACAACCTAGTTCAATCTCTGGCACCCCATATGGTCCCTTGAGTACCACTGGGTGTGACCCCAAACCAAAATAAAACCAAAAAAGAAAAAGATGTGAGTGTAGAGAAAGTGGGGAGAGATATGTTCAAGAGAGAGCACATGCTTCTTCAGAGTGAAAGTAAGTAAAGCAAAGAGAGACAAACCAGCAAGATGTTTGACGGCCATGAAGAGCAAGCCTGAGTCACATTTTGTTTGTTTGGTGGGGTCAAAATAAACCTGGAGGGTCTGGAGCAATAGCACAACGGGTAGGGCGTTTGCCTTGCACGCAGCCAACATGGCTGACCCAGGTTCGATTCCCAGCATCCCATATGGTCCCCCGAGCACCACCAGGAGCAATTCCTGAGTGCATGAGCCAGGAGTAACCCCTGAGCATCGCTGGGTGTGACCCAAAAAGCAAAAAAATATATAAATAAAATTAAAAAAATAAACCTGAAGTTTTGACTACACCAGGCAGTGTTCGGGAGCTATTACCAGTTCAGTCTATGAAAGTTCCTGTTGGTATTGGGCATTGAACTCCAGACCTCTGGTATGCAAAGCACACAGCAGCCCCTTAAACTATCCCCCCTGCCCTTGATTTGTGTTGAAATCCTGGTGGTGGATGTCAGCTGAAAACATACCAACATCTTGTGGGCTAGTTGTGTGTAATTTGAGACTTTGATGACTGTGATTTTTTTTTTTTTGGTTCCATGTGTAAACTAATAGTTCCTCCCACCCTGTGAAGAAATAGTGGAGTTCCATTGTCAGTCCACAGCCCTCCAGGCCTAGTGATTCACTGCAAAAGTCTAAGGATGCTCTGCTCTCAGGCACTGAGGTGCCAGGAGTTACAGGGTCCACTACTGGCTCTGGGGCCTCTGGGGCTGCACCTGGCACCGCTCAGGCACCCTGTACTTACACCCAGCCCGTAGCTTAACCTTTCAAGGCATAAAAACTGGGCTTAGATTCTTTTTTTTTATTAGTATGCAAAATTTTTACATTAAATTTTTTTTTTCTTTTTGGGTCACATCCGGCTATGCACAGGGGTTACTCCTGGCTCTGCACTCAGGAGTTACTCCTGGTGGTGCTCAGGGGACCATATGGGATGCTGGGAATTGAACCCGGGTCAGCCACGTGCAAGGCAAACGCCCTACCCGCTGTGCTATTGCTCCAGCCCCTACATTAAAACATTTTATGGTTCTTTAGTACTTAATATCTATGTTTACCTCTCTTTGCCTCTGAAGTAAGATTCTTTATTTTAACTGTACAGTTGTGTTAAGAATCAAAGATTCGAGCAGTGTGACGTGTCCCTAGGCTCTCTGTGCATGCAAACATCATGGATCAGACAAATGTTTTTCATCTTGGGGATTGGTGAAGAAGTGAGACTTTGAGAAGTTCATGAAGTAAAAATTTGCCCCATATATTTTGTGTTTTTCCTGTTTTTTCTTCCAAGGCGTTTTCTATTTCTAAATTAAAATATAATTTAAAAATAAAAAGATTATTTGAAAAAAAGTTTTAAAGTTTCATGAGGGGCTGGAGCGAATTTTATGATAGTCTATCTATATTTATCATTGACAGTGTTTTCTTGCTAGCTATGAACAACTTTAATCAACTAAGTAAAATGTCAGTTCAAAAATTCCAATTTTTAAAAATAGATATGGTATAAGTAGAACACTAGAGTTGCAAATTCTTGAATCTAGGACTAGTCTTGAAATGCCACTAAAACTATCATGGCTGGTCAAAGATAATCAGCAGTAATAAGGAAAAGCTAAGATTTCTCAATATTTGTTAGTATTTTGGACTTCATATTTCTTAGTTTTTAATAATACTTGCTAATTTTGCTTAGTATCATGAGCTACTCTGTCAACTATTTTAAAAGAGATTTGAACATGTATTTCTACTATATATTTAAAGCTACGTAAACAATTCTTTACTGAGTCCTAATTTATTTAAATTTTGTTATTTTTTAATTTTATAAGTCTCATATATAAAAATGTTCTAGCAAATCCTTTCTGATGAAAGGAAAGCTTAGCAGACAAAAGATTTTTGCCTTTCCCTAAAGAAAAATCGGAAAGATAGCTGCTCAATTTTTTTGGAAAATAAATGCCTTGCGGGGGTTGGGGCTGAAAATTGAAAATACTTTGATCTCATGATATTCACTAATCTGTCTTCAGTAATCTATCTCTCTTTTAACTTTGAGAGAATGTTCCTAAAGAGCTCTGTTGGTAGGGCAGAGGATATTAATAACTTAAAATTGTATTAATGAATAAAAGTTATTTTATTTTATTTTTTTTAAGGAATTGAATGATCTGGCTCGGGATCCCCCAGCACAGTGTTCAGCAGGTCCTGTTGGAGATGATAGTAAGTATTTAAAAGGAATGACAAGCTAAATAGTATAATTGTCTCTGGGAAACTTTGAGACTATGGTATATAGTAGTTTTATACATGTATATATATATATGTGTTTATTTAAAGGTTATTGTGTATGAAGTGATAATTCTGCTATAGAGAAGGGGGGAAAGCTTTTTCTTTGGGAACTTGATTTAGTTCTGTTTCCTGTCATGTTACTGCTCATTATAATTGGTGAACCTCTTCTATCAGACATTGTGTGGTGTATCTGATCCCTTTCTACCTACCCTTCATTTTTCCATTCTTGTTATTTTACTCAGGTAAAATACTAGTTTTTACTAGTAGCTGACTGTTGTTAATTAATAAAATGATCAAGATAAAGATGTTAAGTAAGATAGTATTTCTGGTTTATTTGTGAAGGCAGGCAATTTATTTTTAATATGCAATTTATATGCTCTTACATGGTTAAATCTTACCACACACTGGGAAATAATTTTTCTTTTGTTCTACTTGATTGCAATATAGTTGTCCCATCTGCCATTTTAAAAATAAGATGTGGGGCCAAAGAGAGATAATACAGGAATAAGACCTGCCTTGCACACAACATGCTCTGGTTCAGCTCTGGCACCGCATACAGTTTTCTGAGCATTGCTAGGAGTGACCCCTGAGCACAGAGACAGGAATAAGCCCTGAGCATGTTTAGATGTGGCCTCCCCCCCCCTTAAAAAAAGACGTAAGTGACACATTATTCCTTTCAGGCATAAAACATAATGATTCAATATTCGTGTATTATCTGATGATTCACAATAACTTTGACATCCATCACCGTAGTACACAGTTGAGTATTGATGAAAACTTTTTGTGGGGCAAGTACACCCAGCAGTGCTTTCCTCTAGGCATTGCTTGGGGATGGGAGAACTTGTGTTCTCCAACTAGCACAGTTCTAGTAATCACACAGCCCTCCTGCATGCAAAGCATATAGCTGGCCCATTGAAAACTCTCTGCAGCCCCTATGATGAAAACTTTGTGTCTTCTCCCAGCAACTTTCAAATACATACTTTAGGGGCCAGAGCAGTAGTACAGCAGGTAGGGCATCTGCCCTGCACACAGGTTCGATCCTTGGCACTCCACATGATCCCACCAGTCCCACCAGGAGTGATGCTTGAGCACAGGGCTAAGAGTAAGAGCTGAGCACTGTCAGGTGTGGACCCATCCCCACTCCCCAGCCAAATATTTTTTGTTTAGGTTTGGGGGGCACACCCAGTGGTGCTCAGAGCTTATTCCTGACTCTGTTCAGGGCTTACTCCCATTGGGACCCAGGGGACCATATGGGGGACTAAGATCAAATGATCTTATCAGATGATCAGATCTGGATCATCTGAGTGCAATGCAAACATACTACCCATTGTACTATTGCTTCTCCTCTGTTTCTATCCATTTTATTTATTTATTTATTTTTGCGACACAGCCGCACAGGGGTTACTCCTGGCTCTGCATTCAGGAATTACTTCTGGCGATGCTCAGGAGACCATATGGCATGCTGAGGATCGAACCTGGGTCGGCTGTGTGCAAGGCAAATGCCTTACCCACTGTGCTATCACTCTAGCCTCTTCTATCCACTTCAGAAGGGAAAATATTTGAAAAAGATTTGTAAAACAAAATTAATTTATTAAGTGATATTTCTGCAAATTGGGAAAAATGAACATAGTTGTTGTGGTTTTTTGTTTTGTTTTGTTTTTGTACAGAAAGTATCTAAATTGAGAAATATTTAAATCAGATTCCCAAAGTTATTTTACCTACTAACATCTTTTCAGAGGGTGAAATAATCACTCAGTGCTCCCCTGGAAATACACTTTTTTTTTCCCTCTCTAGCCCAACAAGAACTAGAAATGTAATTCAGCAGGAGGGTACCAGCCTTGCTTGTGTGGAAACCTGGGTTCCATCCCCCCACCATAACATTAAGGCTACTATTGTACTTCCTGGATAGTTCCAGGAACTTAACCAGCCCCCTGCTCAATTCCCCTGCTGGGAATTGATGCTGGGTGGGTAGTGGTATCACCCACTTTAGGAAATACTGATCTAGTGATCACTTAAACATAAGGTTATATTTACTTAAGTTTAAAATTATTTCTGTTGGGGATGGAGGGATGGGTACTCAATCATTGTATGACTGAAACCCAAGCACAAAAATTTGTAAGTCTACAACTGTACCTCATGGTGTTTCACTAATTTAATAAATAAATAAATAAATAAATAAGGGGGAAAAAAAGAAATATGTCAAACAATTAAAAAAAAATATTTCTCTTGGGGACCAAAGAGATAGTACAGTGGGTAAGGCATTTGCCCTCCATGTAATCAGTTTGGTTTTGATCCCTGGCATCACATCCTGAGCATTGCCAGGAGTGAGTCCTGAGTGTGAGGCCAAAAGTAAACCCTGAGCATGGTTGGGTATGGCCCAAAAACCAAAAATAAATAAAATTACTTTTCTTGATTTTTCTTTCAATTTTTTTGGGGGGGGTCATGAAGTCAGAGTGTTAGTATAGTGGCTTGTCTTGCAAGCAGTGGATCTGAGTTTGGTCCCTGACACCCCATCTGGGCCCTTAAACGTGCCAGGAGTGATCTGTGAGCCCAGAGCCTGGAATAAGGCTTAAGTATAGCCAGATGTGGCCCAAAATCAGGGAATGGGGGGGGTTAAGAGGGGGTGAAGTACAGTGGGCTCAGTACTTGCCTTGCATGAGGCTGACCTGGGTTCAATCCCTGCCACTCTGTGATCTCCTAAACACAGAGCTGGGAGTAAGCCCTACGCATCATGAGGTGTGGCCCCAAAGCAACCAAAAATAGGAGTGTAGGGGTAGGTGGGCAGAACACAGTATAGCAGTTAAACTATTTTGCATACAACTGAACCAGGTTTGATCACAGGCACCCCATATGACTGGAAAGATAGCACAGCAACTAAAATGCTTGTCTGGCATGTGACAAGCCCTGGTTTGATACTGGGCACCACATATCCCCCTAAACACCATCAGGTATGGCTCCAACACCAAAAAAATAAAATAAACAATTCTTGCCCTCAAATCCCTCAACAGTTTTGTTTATAATTTAGTATAAGAATAAAATGGGCTACTTGTGATTTGTTTTGAAATAACCCAGATTTTAACATGCAATCAGTTTCCCCCCTACTTTTTGCTAAATCTGATAAACGAGAAGGTATATGTTAAGTCTGAAAGAAATAAGCTAGATAACTTAACTAATCATTACTTTGTTTACTCTTGTTTTGAACACTCGTTGAATATTACTCTCTAGAGACCTGTGCTTGAATTCAAAGGTATATCTCCTGAGATTTATCCTCAGACTAACAAATGCTGACTATTCCTTTTAATTTCAGGACTTCATAAAATGCTTCATTAATCAATAAACTGTGAACTTCATATTTAAATTCTCATAAAAGTGATTTAGCATTCTTTCTGGTGATTTGGTTTGACAGCATCAAACGAAAGTAATAGTGGAAATTTCTATGTTTTGGGACTGTTGAAACTTTTATTTTTTTATGTGTTCTTTTTTTTTTCCTTTTTTTTTTAATTTGGGTCACACCCGGCAATGCACAAGGGTTACTCCTGGCTCTGCACTCAGGAATTATGCCTGGCAGTGCTCAGGGGACCATATGGGATGCTGGGAATTGAACTCTGGTTGGCTGCATGTAAGGCAAACGCCCTACCCGCTGTGCTATCTCTCCAGCCCCGAAACTTTTTATTTTTTTAATTAATTTTTGAGCAGTGCTTGGGAATGACTGCCAGCTGCTGGGTGCTCAGGGTTGCTACTGGCCATTCTTGAGGGACCGTGCTGTGTTAGGGGTGGATCCCGGCATCTTGCATGCGGAGTTTGTGCTCTAGCACTTTAAGCTCTCTCATCCTTTTTGAAACTTTTTTGGAGGGGTTTAGGGGGCCATACCTAGCAGTGTTCAGAGCTGACTCCTGGCTCTGCTCTTGGGGATAACTCTTAGCAAGCTCTTCCTATCTCTTGAGTCCCTTATTTATAGGTCCTTACTTTGCTGTACTCAGGACTTACTCCTGGCTCTTCATTCAGGAATCACTCCTAACAGATTCAGGGGACTGTTTTGGGGGCTGGGGCCAAACCCAGGCTGGACATGTGCAAGGCAAGTGTCTTATCTGCTGTACCATCTTTCTGACCCCAGTACCATGGATTTGTTTGTTTTTTGGGTCACGCCCAGCAATACTCCTAGCTCTGCACTTAGGAATTACTCCTGGCGGTGTGTGGGGAACCTTATGGGATGCCAGGGATTGAACCCAGGTCAACCACATGCAAGGCAAACACCCTACCCGCTGTACTATTGCTCCAACCCCAGGATTTTTAATTTTTAATAGCTCTTACTCTTAAGGGTTTTTAAAATAGGTGTTCTTATAAAATATGTCACCATTTTATGCTTTGGACAAATCCTCCTGTAGCTTGTTACTATTTCTGTAATACTGCTTAGAACTTATGGTGATTAATGGTGATTAATAGATTATTTACAAAGATTTATTAAAGTTGGGTCAAGAAAATGTTTTTAGGGACAGGAGATCAGGTGCTTGTCTCCACATGGCCAACCAAGGTTCTATCCCTGGCATCCCATATGATCCCTGAGCACTGCCAGGAGTGATGATTCCTGAACACAGAGCCAGAACTAGGTGTGGCCCACAAACCAAAAGAAAAAATAGAAAAGATTTTCAGGGACTGAGAGTACAGTGGGTGAGGCACATGCCTTGCTGTGCCTCTTCAGTCCTCAGAATCCCATATAGTTCCTGCACCCCACCAGGAGTGATTCCTGAGTGCAGTCAGAAATAAGCTCTGAGCATCGCTTACCCCCCCTCGTAGTTTTTTCTCACTATCCTTATGAGATCTGCAGAGGAAGTGCTATCATTGTTTATAATAGCTATTCTCATATTTAACCAGTGTGACTTATAGTATAATTTAAATTTGAGATGTTTAAATTCTTTCATAATTAAATTCATCTTAAATGTATTTTTAGTTTTTCTTTGCCTTTTGTTGGTATTGTGGTTCTAGGTCATTTTAGCAAAAGACCATTGGCACAACTTAAGGGAGAAACAGCACAGAAGGATAAGGTGCTCATGTTGCATGTAACAAGTTGGTCTTGGATACGTACCACTGCATGTGGTCTCTTGACCTCCACGAAGAGTGATCCCTGAGCACATAGCCAGGAATATACCTTGAGGACTTCTGGGTGTATCCCCAAAATGGAAAACCAGAGGGAAAATAATTTTACTTCAAAATTCCTAGCGTGTTTGTATGGGAATACCATATTTTTGTGAGTGGGGGGAGAGGAGAGGAGAGATGAGAAGGAGAGAGAGATTTTGGGGTCACAACTAGCAGTACTCAGGGTTTACTCCTGGCTCTGCATGCCAGGGATTAATCCTGGCAATGACTTTGGGAACCATATGGGAGGCACAGGATTGAACCAGAGACAGCCATGTGCAAGGCCAGTGCTCTACCTGATGTACTATCTCTCCAGCCACACACATTCCTTAAAAATACTGATCTTTCTACGTTTTTTAGGAAGAGTGAATATCCTTTCTATAATCATAATTGTGAATTGTGTTAGTAGTGAGCTTGTCAAGGTTTCTGTTCCAAATCTCTTGAGGCTTCCATGTTGTCAGTTTTAGTGGATTTTAATCATAAAACATTAAACATGTTTGTTGCTTTTTCTGCTAAAGGAATATTGGGAAATCTATTGTACACACAAATTACCTTTAGTCAGATTTGTACTTATTTTGATTTTTTACAAATAAATTTGGGGAGCATGGACGATACCCAGTGGTGCTGAGGAGACTGTTCCTGGCTTTGTTGTTAGGAGTGATCCCTAGTGATACTTGGTGATCATTATGAGGTGCTGAGGATTCAAACCTGGGTTAGTGGGGTGCCAGGCAAGCACCTTAACTCCTGTACTATCTCTTTGGCCCCTACAATTTTAGTAATAACTTAAGTCTGGTCTTGTGGGGGTGGAGTTGCTGCTTGTGGTAACAGGAAAAACAAGGTGGGGAGGGCAGAACCAGAAAACAGACACTTGTATTTCTTTAAGGCATTATGGCCTTTTTTTACAGGAGACTTCATTGAGGGCACTAGACCAATTTTATTTTTAACTTTTTTTTTTACCATTTTTTTTTAACTTTTTATTGAATCACTGTCAGACCCTTACAAAGCTGTTCATGATTAGGTTTTAGTCATACAGTGTTCCAACACCCATCCCTCCATCAGTATACATTTCCCAGCACCAGTGTCCCCAGGTTCCTTCCCATCACCTCCCACCCCCTCGCCCTCTGCCATATGACAGGTGCTTTTTCTTCTCTCCCCCACTTCTCTCTATTCTTTTGGGCATTATGGTTTGCAATTCTCAAAGGTTATCAAGAATATTCCTTTACCTACTTTTTTAAAAAATTTTATTTATTTGCTTTTTGGGTCACACCTGGCGATGCTCAGGGGTTCCTCCTGGCTCTGCACTCAGGAATTACTCCTGGCAGTGCTCGGGGGACCATTTGGGATGCTGGGAAACCCGGGTCCGTCGCATGCAAGGGAAACGTCCTGCCCGTTGTACTAATCGCTCCAGCCCCTCCTTTACCTACTTTTAAACCTCAGATCCTGCCCAGCGTGATCATTCCCAGCTATTATTGTCATACTGGTGTCTTCTTAATCTTACCTACGCTCTGCACCACACACACTTGTGGTTAGTTCCAACTATTGGCCAGTCCTCCTAACCCCTGTTTTCCCTGACCATGGATATTAGTCTTCATATATATATGTATTTTATATCTACAAATGAATGCAGCACTGGACCAATCCTAAGGAAGCAAGCTGACTTTCTTCTTAGCCATTTAGTCCTTTTTTTAAAAAAAAAAAAAGTTACAGGAATAAAAGATAACCCAGAGATTCAAGCACTTGCCTTGTATGCAGTTGACCCCAGTTCCATCTCTCACATCACATATGGTTCCACAGGCATTGCTGGGTGTGGGCTTCTTCCCCCTCAAAAAGGTTGGTGGAAATTAGCAGGCATTTTTCTCAGTACTTATGTGATAGATAATCTACAAAGGGGAGCCTTAGGAATACCTATCATCTTTAATTCCTAGTAAAAGGACTGCTCTGTGTTCAATACCAGTGAGGGACAGACTAATTATAAGAGTAGTTTGGGTTTTGGGAGGTAGATGGTTGAAGTGTGAGGCCGTACCCCGTGGTGCTTAGGGATTTCTCTTTTCTCTGTGCTAGGAATCACTATTCAGGGCACTTCAGGGAACCGTGTCATCCCAAGGATGAAACCTGGATTGACCGCAACAAGCAAGGCAAATAACACCAGTACCAAAGGGACAGTTTCCTATACAGGATGTCAGAATAAACTTTAGGATTTGGACTGATACCCCATTACATTTTTTATGACTTTGTAGTTTTTGTATTTCTCCCATGAGATACATTAACTGATTAAAGTTCTTGACATGCAGTTCTAGTGACAACTTTCCTTGGTTTGCCCAGGTCCTCATGACTACTAAATGCCAAGTAGAAAGCTCTGACTTCTCAAGCACCACTTTTTTTCAGCTTGAAGAAAATATTTCCTTGTCAAATAAATTTATAGGACTGGGATATATCTCAGTGGTAGAGCATATGCTTTGCATATGCGAGGCCTTGGATTCAATCTCTTACGCGTACGCATGCGTGTGTGCACACACACATGTACACACAAAATTTTCGTTTCTGGGGATTATCCCTGGAATTTATGATCAAGTTTGGGACTTTCAGGTAATAATTTTTGGGATTATTCAGATAATAATTTCCTTATTTATTGAGGTAATGAATTGTGCTATTATTAGGTAGTGGATTTTTCTTATTGATCTTTTTTTTTGTTGTTCTTTTTCAGTGTTCCATTGGCAGGCTACAATAATGGGGCCAGTAAGTATTCATATTAATTTCAACGTAAACAATTTATCTAACTCACTCATTTTGATACTACTTCTTTTGTTATCAACAGAATGACAGTGCCTATCAGGGTGGAGTATTTTTCTTGACAATTCATTTCCCAACAGATTATCCCTTCAAACCACCTAAGGTAATTGAGATAAGATCATTGTTTCTAGTGTTTTAGCTTTTTATATATGATAATAAGCTGATGTACAAAAAAGTTTTCATTTTCTCCATAGGTCGCATTTACAACAAGAATCTATCATCCAAATATTAACAGTAATGGCAGCATTTGTCTTGATATTCTACGGTCACAGTGGTCTCCAGCACTAACTATTTCAAAAGGTAATATAGATATTTGATTAAAAAAATGAAGAATTTGTATTTATCTTGATTATTTTTGTTAAGATTGCTCATTCATTTCAGAGAGACTGCAGTGATTCACCATATTCTTGGAAAGACCTTGGTCCTACTGAAAGAGTTGATGTTCAAATAAAGATTTCCTTAGTGGTATAATAGTCTGTTCGTTGTGCTATTCAAGCATAGGTTGGAAAGTAGCCTTTTGGTATGAATTTTTAATGTAGTCAGCATTTGTAGGGAGCAGGGGGTTGTTGCTGAGGACGAAACTCAGAGCCTCTTATGTAGTGTTTGCTGTATCCTGAGCTTAATCCCTGGTCCCTTTGAGTATTTTATCTTTAAGTTTCTTTCAGGAATAGATTCTTCTCCCCTCTTTTTTTTTTTTTTGCCTTTTGGGGTCACAGAGGTTAACTCCTCGCTCATGCACTAAGGAATTACTCCTGGCGGTGCTCGGGGGACCATATGGGATGCTGGGAATCAAACCCAGGTCGGTGGCATACAAGGCAAACGCCCTACCCACTATTCTATCACTCCAGCCCCATCTCCCCTCTTTTTAAAATTTTAAAAATATTTTGAGATCTTAACCACACTCAGGGGTGGTCAGGGCTTACTCATGGCTCTGTGCTCCTCCTAGTGGTGCTCAGGGGATCAGTTGTGGTGCCAGGGATCAAACCCAGGTAGATCACATGCAAGGCAAGCATCTTCCAGCTGCACTGTTCCTCTGGCCCCCAGGTCAATTGTCTTAAGATGACTTCTACTATGTAAGTCATCTTTTTTTTTCCCCCCTCCTTTTGTGGGTTTTGTGTGTGGTGTAAGGGCACTGAGCTTTGCTCATGTGTTTCTCCTGGTGGTGTTTGGGGGACAGTGCAGTGTAAGGGATTGAACCCCAGCCTTCTGCTTAAGCTTGTATAAATAAGCTATTTCCCTTAAGCTATTTCTTCAGCTTGATAAAAATTTGAATTTTTATCTGAACACTTAATCTTTGTTAGTATAGTTTCAGTAGTCTGCAAATATGCAAAGAATAAATTATTTACTATCTTTTTGATAGATACAATAGTTCTAAATAAGACCTTTTCCCCCTCAACTCTTAGCTACATCTCCCAACCTCCAGAAATGTTTTAGTATCAGTTAAGTTCGTGGGTAGTAAACAAATGTGATTTTACATGGGTGGTTTTTGTTTTCAGGGTTTGGGGGGGGGTGTGTGGAGGGAGGTGTTGTGTTTGTGTCACACCCATTGATGCTCAGGAGTTACTCCTGGTGGTGCTCAGGGGACCATATGGGATGCAGTGATTGAACCTGGGTCAGCTGTGTGCAAGGCAAGTGCCTTACTGGCCATACTCTCTCTCCAGCCCCTTATTTTAATTGTTAATTTGAAATTGTCTAACCCCTCTGCTCCAAATGAAATCACCAATTGATTAAAGGTCATCAGAAGACAAATACAAAAAATAGGCTAGAAATAAAAAAGACAGATTAATAAAATGAATAGCAAGCTGGAGCACATACTTTTTGCATGCTAGGAGGGAGTCCTGGGTTCAATGCTTATTGCTGCTTATTCTGAAAGCATGGATCCAGGAGTAGTTCCTGAGCACCATTGAGTATGACTTCCAGTGTTTTTTTTTTTAAAGAAACTAAGCTGGTGAGATAAATTTAAATGAGTGCCCCCCCCCTAAAAAAAAGACAAATGAGTGCCCCTTTTTATTTATTTACTTTTTTTGTTTGTTTCTAGCCACACCCGGCAATGCTCAGGGGTTACTCCTGAGTCTGTGCTCAGGAATTACTTCTGGCAGTGCTTGAGTTATCATGTAGGGTGCATGCAAGGCAAGCGTCCTACCTGCCATACTACCACTCTGGCCCGAGTACCTCTATTTTTAAAACTGTTTATTGGTTTGGGGGCCACACCTGGCAGTGCTCAGGGTTATACTTCTTGCTCTGTGCTCAGGAATCACTTCTGGTGGAGCTCAGGAGACTATCGTGGTATTGGAAATTGAAACTCAGGTCACCTGTTGTAAGGCAAGTGCCCTACCCACTGTATTATCTCTCCGGCCTCTAAATGAGTGTTTTTACTACTGATAGATGTATTGTCTTGCCTGCCACTATGAAAATATAATAGTCAACACTAATATGCTTTGACCTGTGCTTTTATTTTTATTCACTTGTGATAACACCCCAAATGTTGAAAAAACTTTGTGATGGTATTATTTTTTCTGAAAACTAGAAATTATTTATACGCCCAACAATAGAGGGGAATATATGTGCTTTCAAAATCATTTGAAAGAGTATTATGGGGACTGGAGCGATAGCACAGCGGGTAGGGCGTTTGCCTTGCACGCGGCCAACCTGGGTTCAATTCCCAGCATCCCATATGGTCCCCCAAGCACCGCTGGGAGGAATTCCTGAGTGCATGAGCCAGGAGTAACCCCTGTGCATCGCCAAGTGTGACCAAAAATCAATCAATAAACAAATAGGTATTAGGGGCTGGAGTGATAGCATAGCGGGTAGGGTGTTTGCCTTGCAAACACGGTCTACCCAGTGTTCAATTCCCAGCATCCCATATGGTCCCCTGAGCACCTCCAGGAGTGATTTCCTGAGTGCAATGCCAGGGGTAACCCCTGAGCAGCGCTGGGTATGACCCAAAAAGAAAAAAATAAAAGAGTAAAAACTTAACTTAAAGGCCCTCCCGTTGATCATCGATTTGCTCGAGCGGGCCCAGTAACGTCTCCATTGGAGACTTTGTTGTTACTGTGTCTGGCATATCAAATACGTTACGGCTATGCCGTGCAGGCGAGATACTCTCGGTAGCTTGCCGGGCTCTCGAGAGGGGCAGAGGAATCGAACTTGGGTCGGCCATGTTAGCTGCATGCAAGGCAAACGCCCTACCGCTGTGCTATGACTCTCTCTTAAGGTAGCCAAAATAAAAGAGTATTAATCGTTAAAATGTTGTGCATAGTGGGAAATAATGTGAGGGGGAAAAAGAAATTGAGGGCCGGGGCCAGAGCGATAGCACAGTGGGTAGGGCATTTGTCTTGTAAGAGGCCAACCCGGGTTTGATCCCTGGCATCCCATATGGTCCCCCAAGCACCGCCAGGAGTAATTCCTGAGTGCAGAGCCAGGAGTGACCTCTGAGCATTACTGGGTATGACCCAAAAAGGCAAAAAAGAAAAAAAAAATTGAGGGCCAAGGAGATAGACCCTAGTTCGATCCCCAGAATCGATATGGTCCCCTGAGCCCCATCAGGAGTCTGCTGTGAGCACAACTGGGTGTGGCCAGAAAAAGAAAATAAAGTTAGTTTGGGCTTTTGGGTAGTAAATTATGTGTGAAATACTCTGAATAGGGGCCAAAAGATAGTATAGGGGTTAAGGTAAGCCTTACACTATACAGCCAACCTGGACTCAATTTCCGACACCACATAAGCTTCTCTAAACCACACCAGCAGTGGTCCCTAAGCCCAGCAAGTACTGTGCTGGACCAGAAATAGTATAGTGTGCATATACGTCAACTAACCGGGATTTGATCCCTGGCATCCCATGTAGTCCCCTGAACACTGCCAGGAATAATTCCTACAGGTTGAATTAGTTATTAAAATTAAAATATTAAAGTTAATATTTTACACAGCTGGATGCAACCCAGAAACCTGTTTGGGAGGCAGGGGTTGCCGGAAAGATACTATAGGCACTTGTATGCTGTGGATTCTGGTTTGATCCCCAGCACCAAATATGGTTCCTGGAGCACTATCAAGGGTCACTCTTGAGCACAGAGCAAGGAACAGCCTCTGAGCACCTCAGGTGTGTTGGCCCCAACCCCTCACAGTAAATTAAAAGGGAGCAATAAGTATGTCACTTGATTGTATTTGTTCAGAATTGAGTTTAAGACACCAATGAGAGACTGGAGCAATATAGCATAGCAAATAGGGCATTTGTCTTGCACGCGGCCGACCCGGGTTCAATTCCCAGCATCCCATATGGTCCCCTGAGCACCACCAGGAGTAATTCCTAAGTGCATGAGCCAGGAGTAACCCTGTGCATCGCCGGGTGTGGCCCAAAAATAAAGACACCAATAAAAGCCTGTATTTACTGATGAAGGGTGTATGTAGAGGTAAAAATTCATTTGTTTCAAAAGAAAAAAAAAATCTTCAGGTTTTTGAAGTGTAGGAGTTGGGGTAGAGAGTAGAGAGATAGTACACCAAGTAGGGTGTTTGGCTTTTATGTGGAAATATGTGAACCTGGGTTCAATTCCTGGTACCACATATAGTTCCTTGGATCCTGCCGGAAGTGATCTCTGAGCACACAGCCAGGAATATACCCTAAGCACTGCTAGATGTGGCCCTGCTCTCCCCCTACCCCCCCAATCAGGATCCTGTTGTTCATCAATTGCCTCGAGTAGGCACCAGTAACGTCTTCTTCTTCCTAGCCCTGAAATTTTAAAAGAGCCATATTCAGTGCTCTTTCAGGGTTAGGAGAATGAGACCCATCATTGTTACTGGTATTTGGCATATTGAGTATGACATGGGAAGTTTGCCAGACTCTGCTGTGCGGGCAGAATACTTTTGGTAGCCTGCCGGGTTCTCCAAAGAAAAAACTTTCTCCCCCCCCCAAAAAAAAAGAAAAAAAATTAAGTGCAGTGCGTTATAAATCAAAATTTTCTAAGACTAGAACTAAGTAGCGAGTTGAGATTCAATAAGCACCACTACATCTTTCTTTTGGGGGAAGAAAATCAGAAACACTAGTACTTCTCCCTTTTCATTTTGGGCAAGGGACAGGGGATGGTGGTGGTTTTTTGCCATGCCCAGAGTGCTCAGGGAACCATATCAGGGGACCGAACTGGGGTTCAAGGCAGGTATCTTAATTCTTTCTCCAGCCCCAGAAACACTACTTTTTTTTTTACAGAATAATTAAAAGACTTAAGTAAAGGAAATTTGTGCCAGATACTAATTTAGGTGATGAATCAGTTGTACTCTTACCAATTTGATAGGCTAGAAAAAGTTTCTTTTTTCTATAGTCAATACTTTTATGCACATTCAAATATCTGTAACTCCCTGTTGTCATTTCCAGGAAATACATGAACTCTTTCCTAATTGCTGTTAGAATGTTCTGTGCTTGAAGAGGGCATCAGGTGATTCACCTGACAATGGGAAGAGAAGATGTTTTGGGAATGCCATCTGCCAGAATTGTGGGCAACAGGAATGAAGAGTCAGAAAACATCTTTCCTGATGCTTTTTTATTTTCCATATACTCTTAAGGCAAGGAAATAGCTTTTTTGTTAATCTGAATGATAAAGGGCATGTAATTTTTTTTAAACAAAAACAAAAATCTCTCAAAGGCCCTTGATCTCTATAGAATAGATTTGCTAGGAAAATGAATGAATTCTTTTCCTGCTGAATTTGATGTTTTGGGAATAAAGTTGGCTAAGAGTCATTGTCTCTTGCTACGGAACATTAGAATAAAATGAAATAGTTCTGTTAACATCAGAAGATTGGAACTTAGTATATCAGAAGCCACTGGACTTAATAATTCTTATCTTTGACCTCTTTGTGTTCAATAAGGAAATAAGTTAACAGATGTAAACAGGGGACGTTGTACTATTTAGACATGTTTGGTGTGTTCCAGATGTCAGTAAGAAGATAGCTTATATAAGATTGTAACTCATCACTGAAAATAATTTGAGACTTTAATAGAATTATTTTGTGTTATCGTTAAGCTTGGTCAGCCCTGTGTGATACAACTTACTGACCAATATGTTCTTAGTTGTTTTCGACTAAATGGAACAAATCTGTTGCATCTGAAAATAGTACCTGCATTGGGAATGCAGTGGCTATTAGATTTCCTGGTTGTCATCCAGTAGTATGGTTGTTCCTGGAATTTTGAAAGCCATTTATGCCTGAACATGGACTTCTAAAAATTAATAACTAGAATTTAGAAGACCTTAATTCTATCCATTATAATTACTCACTAGCTATGGACATCGGGCAAGTAAATCTCACCAACCTTGGCCAATTTAAGTGTTCAAACATAGAGAAATCTTAGATCTTTGATTACTATTGCTATAAAATGAGGTAGCTTTTATAAAACTGCTAGGTAGTACAATATTAATAAATTAGAATTTTCTCATGTATTGGTATATTATGCTTTTCAGCTCTGCTGTTACCTTCTATTAATTGATAGCTTTATTGGTTCTTTTGTTGTTTTTCATTCTAGTACTCTTGTCCATCTGTTCTCTGTTGTGTGATCCCAATCCAGATGATCCTTTAGTGCCTGAGATTGCTCGGATCTACAAAACAGATAGAGAAAAGTAAGTATGACCTACAGACTGAAAAGTAACTGGTGAAGTGGAGATGTTTGTCCCTCAAATCTTACCTAAGGACTGAGTATGGATCGGATATTGTAAACTAAGTCCTAATAAATTTCTTTTGGTGGGGGTAGGGGGCTATTGGGGACACACCTAGCTCTACTCAGTGGTTACTCCTGAATCTGTGCTCAGAGATCACTCCTGGTGGGACTCAGGACCATATGGGATACCATGGATCAAACCTGGGTTCCCTGCATGCAAGGCAAATCCCCTGCCCGCTCTGCTATCTCTCTGACTTCCACCTAACATATTCCTGTGGAGATAAGAATATTTGCATTGAGTATCATCTTCACAAGGTGATGCTGATCTTGTCTTTAATAATTTCATGATTTCTACTGTCTAGAAAAGCCCTTCTAGTATAGAGTCCAATAGCAGATATCTAAGAATTAATGTGGAAATAGATTTGGTTTTTGGTGTAGGGTTTAAGGGTATATTGGACACTGAGACAGTATTCCAGCAGTGTTCAGGATCCACTCCTGACTCTACCTAGTGGTCATTCCTGGTGCTGCTCAGAGAACCATATGCTGTGCCAGGAATTGGACCCAGGCCTCCTGCATGCCTGCAAAGCATGAGCTCCAACCCTAGAATTTTAGAATTAAGCTATAAAATTTTTGTTGCATTGGTTTTGGGATTACACCCAGTAGCGATCAGCTCTTAGTTCTGGCTCTGCTTTCAAAATAAGGGGTGAGGGTGGGAATCACAGATAGTAGTGGTGCCAGGCAGCAGACTAGGTCAGCCACATACTTTAACCCTTTTATTATATCATCTGCTCTAAACTATGAGTTATTGAAGAACAATCAGTATATCAGAAGTGGGGCTGAAGCAATAGCACAACAAGTAGGGTGTTTGCCTTGCACGCGGCTGACCCGTGCTCGATTTCCAGCATCCCATGTGGTCCCCCAAGCAACGCCAGGAGTAATTCCTGAGTGTCGCTGAGCATCGCCTGGTGTAACCCAAAAAGAAAAAAAGTGTATATATATATATCTATATATATTTATATATAGATATATATATCAGAAGTGATAGTAATTGAAAGTATTCTAATCTCCGTATGTCATTCAGTAGATTGTAGGAGAAAATGGGAGAGAGTAGGAGTGTGTTTTTGGTTTTTGTTTGTTTATATGTTTTTGCATTATATCCGCAGTGCTCAAAGGACCATATGGTACCCAGGATCAAACCTGATCCAACCCCTACACACAAAACATACTCTAATCTGTTGCACAACCCCTCTGGCCCAAGAGAGTACATAACTTTTTGTTGTTTTTGGCCATACTTGTCGGTGCTCAAAGCTTACCTTTGGCTCTGCACTCAGGGATCACTTCTGGCAGGGCCAGGGAGACCACATGTGGTGCCAGGAGTTGAACCTAGTTGAACATGTGAGGCAGGCTCCCAACCCTCTGTACTATGACTCTGACCCAAGTCAGTAATTTTTAAGTTAAAATATAAAGGACTGAGCTAGAGCCATAGTATAACAGGTGAGGGTGCTTACCTTGTAACACTAGTCAACCTAGGTTCAATCCCCAGTACCACATATGGTCCCCTAAGTCTCCCGCCAGGGGTAATTCTAAGCACAACTGGGTATAGCGCCCTTCCTCCCCCCAAATGTGTGTGTGATTAAGGAATTAATTTGAATTGTGTTGAATTTAGAATATAAATAATATAAATATGACCTGTTTAGATGGGATTATAGGAGTCAGGGAGCTAGTACTGGGGTTTGGGCACAGGTTATGCATCCAATCAAGGTTCACTCCCCAGTTAAACATGGCCTCCAGACATTGCGAGGTTTCTCTCAGGGGACAGTCACCACCATTGGAAGTGGCCCCACAGGATCTAAGCAGTGCCTTGTCATTGGGCTCTGACACTGAAATGCCAGCCCAGTTGGCTGAGGATCACCAAGAGTGGCCCCTATCCTCTGAGCATTGCTTGAGAGGCCTAGAAAAATAAAATGACATTATACCAGGAATGAGGCGATTGTAGCTTTTTTTGTGGGGGGGGGGGGGTCACACCTGGTGATGCACACGGGTTACTCCTGGCTCATGCACTCAGGAATTACTTTTGGAGGTGCTCGGAGGGCCATATGGGATACTGGGAATAGAACCCAGGTCGGCCGCATGCAAGACAAACGCCCTACCCGCTGTGCTATTGCTTAATCCCCAGAATGAGGGAATTTTAAAAGTAGTTTGCTCAATTTAATTTTGATTGTTTTTAAATCTGGCTAAAGTAATAACTAGATTTCTGACTGTCTTTGGGAAAATTAGAACATGCTTTTGTATTTGTGAACTTATTTCATTTCTAAAATTCTCTGTTATTTGTAAAGGGGCTTTCCAGTTGGTGCTCAGAGAGTACAGTGCCATATTAGCATTTCTCAGCCAACCAAGTTGATTCAGTACATGGGCCTGTGATTGTGATACTGATTAGTCCCTGTGTTGCTGGGGATATCTGAGCCACCCTGGTGGTATTCAGGGACTTCAAGGGCTGCTCTCAGCAATGTTTGGCGAGGGGGGACCATGTGGTGCCAGAAATCAAAGCCTGGTCAGATACATGCTAGCCTTTCTACCCAACTGTGGTACCATCTTCCAGCCCCTAAGAGATTTTTTCCCCCTTTCTGGTTATTTTGTTTTGTTTTTTAAGTTAAAATTTTGTTTTAATATGTGAGCTATGTGGGCTGGAAAGATAATATTGTTTAATATGTGGAATATGGGGGACTGGAGAGATCGTACAGTGGGTAAAGTGCTTGCCTTGCAGGTAGCAGATCCTGGTTTGATCTTCAGCACCCCATATGATCTCCTGTGCACTTAGTCCCTGAGTGCGAAGCCAGGAATAAGCTCAGCACTGTTGGGTATGGGCCTATTCCCCCCAAAAAAAATATTGTTAATATGGGCATGAATGCCTACTTTAGACATTTTCCCAAGTTTTTATGGTATAATGTTCAGCAGAACTTTTTTTTTTTTTTTTTTTTTTTTGCTTTTTGGGTCACACCTGGCAATGCTCAGGGGTTACTCCCTGGCTCTTCATTCAGAAATGACTCCTGGCGCTGCTCAGGGTACCATATGGAATGCCGGGGATCGAACCCTGGTTGGCTGTGTGCAAGGCAAATGCCCTCTCCACTTTGCTATCGCTCTGGCCCCTCAGCAGAACTTTCAGATTTTCTTTTAGATGCACAATTTTTCCTTGCTTATTTTAAACAGACTGAAGAATGGACCCATTTATTATAGCAACTGAATTGTTAACTTCTACAAAACCAGATTTTTTTTTTTGATAGAGACATAGGAATCTATTATGTCAACTTAATAACTACTAGTATATAATTTTAAGAGTCATGAAATACATAATTACATACTTCAAAGAATTCCAAAGTCAGATTGTACAGTGGTTAGGGTACTTGCCTTGTACACACCCAAACGAATTCAATCTCTGACCCCACATTTTGTCCCCTGAGTCCCCCCAGGAGTAAGCCTGGAGCACAGCTCAGTTTGGCGCAAAAACAGAAAAAGAATTCCAGATAAGTGAATTAAGGACTGAAGATCACTTTTACAACTGGTTGAAAAAGCATACTATAGTATATGCCAGTGACTAGCAAAATTTAATCAGAAGTCTCTGCTAGTAGCATTTACAAGATTCATATTGGTTTTATATCTTGAGACTTTTTCCCACTACCACTGAATGAATATTTATTAGAAATTAAGAGTAAAAGAACTTGAATGTACTTGAGTTTTTCCACCCAACTTACAAGATAGGATAATGAATGAAATCTGTTGTTTACTGACTTCTCACCTGTTAAGCCAAGCTTCTCTTTGTGTGTACAGGTACAACAGAATAGCTCGGGAATGGACTCAGAAGTATGCGATGTAATTAAAGAAATTATTGGATAACCTCTACAAATAAAAGATAGGGGAACTCTGAAAGAGAAAGTCCTTTTGATTTCCATTTGACTGCTTTCTATGAGCCCACGCCTCATCTTCCCCCGTGCACATGTTTACCTGATACAGCAGTGCTGCGTGTTGTACATACTCGGAACAACAAACTAGAAATACTGTACTTCTGTACCAACATTGCCTCCTAGCAGAGAAATGTGTGTGTGTGACAAGCCAGTTCTCCAAACCTAACCTAGGTGTGAGATTAAAAGCGTTCCTTAATGATTTAAGCTTGGAAAATGGCAAGGTGAGGGGTGGTGGGGATGGTGTGTGCTCAAATGGGGAAGAAAAGCTCCACTGACCTATAGGAGAGTGTGTTTAAGTGGAATGTTTAAACAGTTAAGAAAAGCAAGGTGAAGAACACGAAGCTGTTTCTGTATTCATTTTATTCGAAGGACCTGTCTTAGGTAAAAGTATGACCAAACAGATAAAACTTCACCCGCATCCTGTATTTTAAGGTCTAAGTTTAACTGGTCCACATTTAAATGGATTGGAGCTATTAGTACATAAAGTGTGATGGACTTGGTTCCCAACTATTTTACATCTCCCTGCCCTTCTACTTTCATCCTTTCAGCCCCTTTTTCTCTTTTCCATATTCTTTGGTTTGTATGTGGTTTCTCATTTAATACATAGCTAATAGCTCTTATTTTTCTTATGTTTTTAACTGCTTAGGTCTATCTGGATGTAAGGGTAAAAATTCATTTGATGGAAATACTTGTGTATATTTAAACACCCAATTGCTCCTCTGGAGCTTGTACGTTCAAGAATGATTAATCTGTGTAATAAACTGATTACTACAGTCATTACATATAATTTTGTGTGAATAGGCTTTTTGATTTTTTAAACTTTGATTAGCAAAGATTAGTGGTAGATGTTCCCCACCCGAAATGTTTTTATTTCTACTGGTTTCATTTCAAAATCATGAAACAATTCCAGTTTACATAGCAAATATGAGTATTTTGAGAGTAATTTTACTGAACATGATAAGCTTAAAAACATTTCTATGAAACTTATATGTGCAGTATTCAAGGAACATGACTGTTAACCTAAATAAGAAATTTGCTCTATTAATGAAACTGAGCTGCATTTCACCAAAACCTTGTGACATTCCCTTGGTACATAGGACATAAAACACAAAGGCATTGCTATTTGGTAAGTTAAGCTTCTGTGATTGTGATTGTACAAAAACAGCATTGACCAAACCCGGGAAACATGAGCACAATCTTGTATTGGAGAGTCTACATAATTACTTTGCACTAACATTTGCAGGATGTTCATCCAATTTTAAATTGTACTGTATGTGGCTTTTTGAACTCTTCCCTTGACTCTAGTAAAATGTAGTGTATAACATGTAAACAACTGTGTTTGCCAGAAACCGTTCATGTGAACTAGGCAAGTTACCCCTTTTTTCCCTCCTCCTAATCTAATTGTAAACCAGGCCAGCCTGAAGGCCATAGCAGATGCTCTCTAGCCATCAGGTTCTTTTGAATGCATCTTTACACTCTTGCACAAAAATTGAGGAATAAATGTCCACTGCTTTTGGTTTTAAACTTGTTTAACTTGTCTTATCTCTCAATATTAACACTCCTTCATCTCATAACAAAAGTGTGATGTGACCTGTAATCTCTTAAAGTGATTCATTGTAGTTGCTGGCTGCTGATTAACATTTCAAGCATCTTTGACTTGGCTAAGAAAGTTTGACTGTTTACAGTGTGGGAAAAGGAAAGTTGAAGTCAGAATCACCTGTGTTGTGATCAGAAATCACCTGTATTCTTTGTATATGTGGGTAGGTGGGAATTCATCGACTTTTTACTTGCCATTAACTCTATTAACTAACTATACTGTTGGCTATGGGTCAGTTGCACATATCCTGAAAGCCTGTTCTATAATTGTCCTCTTAGAGAATAGCCAGTATAGCCATTTCCACTTAGTAGGTCATAATGTAAATATTTTCACTAGAGTTCTTAGGTACTTGTAAGTAGAAATAAAAACCACTATCTTTGTTTGCTCGGGTACCAAATGAAGAGTTTAGGTAGTCGCAAACATTAGGCTCTTAAATGCAGTTCCGTGTTGCTCATTTGAGTGTGGATCTTATTCATTCCAGTGTGCATACTTGGGCTTTGGCCAGAGTGAAGGCTTAGTGAGAGCCACCTTCCTGCTTATAAAAAAAAGTGTGTCACTCAGGATAGTTCTTAGTTGGTATTGCATTACTTTTCTGGCACAGACTTGATCACATGTGGAAGCTAGTTTGCAGTAACTTTGATTATCTTTGTGAGACAGTGGTTACAGGAAAATGTCAAGTGTATGGATCTCTTCAGTTTTGCTTTTGCTTCTTGGTAAAACTATACTTTCTGATATCTGAATGCTCTGTTGTTTGCCAGTGGTCAAAGATAGCATTGTCCCGCTAGCTTTAATACTTTGGGTAGTATAGACTTGGATATAGAGCTGATGAAGCAGGGGGCAGCCAAGAGGTCTGTAGAGACGAATATGGCAGAGGGACATATGTTCTCTGTGCTGACCTAGAAATAGAGGCATTCCTTTATACTTTGAATTGCTACAATATTCCACTTTTTGAGTCATTCTTCTTTTCCTCAATAAGCTATTTTAAGCCCTTGGTAGATTGTGAGGAGAATTGAATTATTTCTAAATTACAGTTGGAATGCCTATAAATTGTCTCTTGTCTGCAATTAAGATGAAGCTCTGACTTTTGTCTCAGTGTGCTAGATACCACTTCTACCTAACATCTAGTGATGGAATTTAATAGAACTTTCTTCAGTTCCTGGATCTTCTGAATTAGGAACACAGCTTTCCTTTTCCTACTCGGGAATAAGTATCTTTATATAACCTCTGCAGAATATTGTCATTACAGTTAAGGACCCATCTCCTTTCCATTCCTTAGTGTAACACTTTATTTCAAGTGTGGGTATGATGTTATAAAAAGGGCTTTTTATAAAAATAACTGCAAGGACCGAAGAGATAGCCTAAGGCTGAGCACATTGTTTTATGTGGGGGGCCTGGTTCAATTTTCAGGACTGCATGGTTTCCTGAGAACTGCATGGTGTGACCCCAAAACAAAACCTGCAGGGATAGTAAAACTTTTTTTTTTTTTTTTGGTTTGTTTTTGGGCTACACCCGGCGTTGCTCAGGGCTTACTTCTGACTTTCATGCTCTGGGATCATTCCCAGGGATCACTCCATATGTGGATTAGGCATATACAAGACAGGTACCCTACACTGTACTGTATCTGGTCCCGAAGATGGAAACCTTATAAGCCATACATACACATCTAAGTAGTTAAAATAGACCAACTTCTGAGACGTTCGTGAAACATTCTCTATTTCATTGCATGCTTAGAAATGTGAAATCTGACTCATGGATTATTTTGTTAGGGTTAATTGTCATAAATACATTCGCTTATTGTCTCCCTATGTAGGAAAATGGGCCAGAGAGAGTACAGCATGCTTTCCTTGGCATGTGGCTAACCTGGGATTGACCCTTGGCACCCATAGGGTCCCCCCATGCCTGCCAGGAGTGATCCCTGAGTGCAGAGCCATGAGTAAGCCCTCAGCACCACTGGGTGAGGCCCAAAAACAAAACCAAAAAAAAAAAAAAATTAAAAATGAGTGGGAAAGAACAAAGCATTTATAGCTTTAGACCGGAGAGTAAGTAAAGTGTGTACGTTGCACAGAACCAGCTGGTCCTGAGCACCATCAGGTGTGAACAAAAATAAGGCTTTAGACTTAAAGTGACTGCATTGTATAACAAATCACCAGACAGCTTTGCCCTTTCTCTGAGTGCTCAGCTTGGGGTAGCCACACGGTTTTGAAGGGAAGGGGGACCAACCATCAGGGATAACTTTGGGTGGCAGTACTTGTGTGGCCAGGGACTGAACTCAGATCCTCCAAATGCAAGACATGCATTCAAGCCCATAAGTTATCTCCCTGACCCAAACATTTTTGTGACCAGTGATCATTTTTCATCTTTTGATTATTTGTGGTGCTGTACCTGCAGAGGCAAAGAGTGATCTCTCTCTTAACAGATGTAAAATTTAAGGTTATTACTATTCTAGCACCAAGACAATAGCTTAGTAGTTTTCCACTGAGTGGGAGATCACTCCCCCCATCTCCCCACCCTCCCATCCTGTGTGAGTTGTTATTGGTATAAGTTGTATTTTACAGGAAGGGACTCCTGATAGCCTCATAGCCTAGCAGTATACTTTGAAAATAAATGGTTGATCACCTTTGGAAAGTTCAAGAAGCATCAGCTGAGTGTTCCAGACCACACTTCCCGTGACCGTTGTCCAGGAAAGAATAGCACTTGTTTTGGTGACCATTTCTTGCTCCTTTTCAGACATTTTCCTTACTAAGGATTGAGATTCTACAACTGTCATTTTTCCCAGGCACCTCTCCTTTTGAGCCAGTTTTCTATTTGAATTTCCTCCTAAATACTTTAAAATCACGATTTTTCTTTTAGACGCAGCTTTACGGTACTATAAAATTTCAAAAGTAATTCACACTTTTTTTTTTTTTTTGGTGGGGCCCACATCTTACAGTGCTCAAGGCTCCTGGCTTTGCATCCTGGGATAACTCATAACAGGACTTGGGAGGACCATAGGTGATGCCAGGGATAAAACCCTGGTTATCTGTATGCAAGGTAAGCACTTTGCCTGCTGTACTATCTCCAGCCCCGCCTCACATTTCTAAATATATGAGCTCTGCACCCACCACCAGAGTTCTAGTGTATCACACTATTAAAAAAGTCCTGAATTGGGGCTGCGCAGATAGTACAGCAGATAGGGTACTCACTTCCCCGCTTCAGGCTAACCCAAGTTCAGTCGCTAGCATTGCATATGGTCTGATGAGCACCGCCAGGTGTGGCCTAAAAAAATTTTTTTTGTAACTCTGTCTAGAGATAGCATAGGAGTAAAGGTACATGCCTCTAATGCCATTGGCCCTAGTTTAATCCCAGCACCATGAGACCTTCTAAGTCCAGCCATCTGTGGCTCTGGGGGCAGACCCCTGAGTATCACTACATCTCCCACATCCTCAGACACTTGCATTGAACCACCAACCACCAGACCACTTGGCCAAGAATTGCTGGGATGGAATAACCTCTTGAATAGTATGTTCCTGCCCAAAACTATAGTACCTCTAGAGAGTGAGTATAGTTCTGCTGACCTACCCAAATTGCCAGATTTCTGCACTTTGAGGTTTACGCAAATTCCCTAGGCTTACTGACTTGAGATTCTGGAGGAGCCTCACCACTATCTAACACATGGTCTCCAGAGCCAATCTCATGGGTGGAAGAGGATAGGAGGATGTTCCCAGACTGAGGTTGATGTTCCTGAGGGTGAGTTAAAAATGAAAGGAGTGTTACAGGATCAGGGGAGATGCAGAATTTCTTTGAAATGTCTCTTTTATACCTCTGTCCCTGAGTTCATTGCTGCTTTCCTTTTCCTGGCCACATCTTAGCTTTAGGTGACAGCTGGATGGGTTTAATTTTCTGTAAAAAAAAAAAAAAATTGGAGGAGGTGACTGGAGTGTATATATGTATGTATGTGTCTACCCGGGTAGAGCAAGCTCGCATCTGAGTCAGCTAGTGCCCGAGTGGCCAGCAGAGGGCAGTGGTGACACACAACTGGAACTGCCATGAGGCGGGTGGTCAGTAAATCTGCTTGGACAGAACCAGAGTAGGGCTTTTGTTGGGGTGGGAAGGCTTATTTGGATTGGGTTTTGCTTACAGTTTGTCGCCAGCCAGATAGGTAATGCATTACTAAGTCAGATTCTATTTTAGCCTTAATCATGATGAGGAAATGAACACAATTTTCTGACCCAGGACCTGCCGAAGTGTCAAACTCTTGCTTCCCTCTCCCCCTTTTCACTTGAATAGGACCCAAGTAGCCATACCCCTGTTGTGGACAGGTTAGTAGGGTCCGGGTCAGGGCCTTTACCCACCTGGCAACAGGTTGCATGGGGAGGAAAAGGGCTGTCTTTTATGTAAACAAGCTCTCATTTCTGGCCATGCACTCGACCTTGTGCCCACAGTTCCTTTCTCTAGAAGCAGTAGTTTCATGCACCTAGTCCTGGAAGAAGGAATGGGGCACCAAAAAAGCTCCTATCTGCTGTACAAGAACAGGGCAGTAAAAGTGGGGCTTAGGCTTCCCAGAGTAGAGCCAGCAGCCCAGTCCCCAGAATGCCTTGCTCTCCCCCAGGCCTCCCCCTGGGGCTGGTTATCTGACTGAAGCAGGAGGAATGTGTGCTTAGAATAGGGAAGGGGGGTGGTGGGTCAGGGTCAGGGCAGAAACCTGGGAATGTGGACTCCCTGCATGCTCTGTCCTTGTTGGAGGGAGGGAGCCATGAAGAATGTAGCTGACAGGCCCCAGGCGTGGGAGACTGTAGACCCGCCTGTGTGTGTCTGTGCTGGCGGGAGTACCATGTGTGCAGGAACTTGTGAGAGTTGTGAGCACGAACATTCCTTAGTGTTTATGCATGTGGGTGTGAGCCCAAGCTGTGTGTGTGCATAGTCTGAGGAACTGAAGTCAAATCTGAATTTGA